TAAGAGAAACTGTAAAAGTCAGTTTTATACATGTATGCAAAAGTAATTATTACAATCAAGTTTTGAGATAGTCATTAAGAATCACATTTTCTATTTTTGTCTTCCATAAATACAAACATAAGGATAACTACAGGAATATATGGCACTTCACCTTATAACTCTTCATTACTTGGCTGAAAATTTACAATGATTAAAGGGGAAATGTCTACTGGAATAAAACATGATTCAACTACTCATCCTTTAGGTTACTTGGTAGGTTAACTTCACTTAAATGAAAAGGATAAACAGCATAAGGCAAACTAATTTTTTGTTTTTAAAGATTTATTTATGCATACAGAACTGCAGCGTAGGCCAGAGGTGCAGTGGGTGACAAGAATCATCAGCAACAATGGGGAGTAGAGGGTGGGTTAGGAGAAGTCTGTAGCACCATGTGAGTCACCTCCCTGGCTGGGGATCTAACTCAAGCTACAGTGACCGTGGATTACTTCATAGTGCTGAGACTTTAACACATTGAGCCACCAGGGAGGCCACTGGTAAACTTTTTAAGACTTACGAATTGCCCAATCAATGGACACATTACTCCAAATACAATGGGAGTAAAAAGTGATTAAAATTTGATTCTCATCCTCAAAAAACCGGACACAATGAGTTTTGTAAACAAGTAAATCAATATATATGCCACATGAAGGTACACAAGAGTGAGTTTAGGGGCCTCCCTGGTGGCACACAAAGGGCTAAAGCATAGCATTTTGAAGCTATCAGCAGCCACTGCAGCTTGAGTTTGATCCCCTGCCAGAGGAAGTAACCCACATAGTGCTGTAGATCTCTCCTGACCCACCCACTGCTCCCCTCAAAAGTGTGTTTCAGTCTATCTGCCTGTTCCACTCCCCACTCTGTATCTGGTGAATTCTCTCATCTCCCTTCACCTCCCTTCCTAGTTCTTATACGCACAAATAAATCTTATTTAAATAATAAAAAAAAGGAGTTTAGGTAAGGATTACTTATTACTTCTGGAATTAAGTATTCATGAAGAGATGCTGAATGTGTCTCAATGATATATAAAATCTGGACAAGTAGGACAAGGGCAGTGGGAGACAGTATTCCAAAAGTGAGCAAAAGGGAAAGTTTACAAGCACACTACACTCTTCATGTAATTTAAATACGATGACTTCATATTTCCACTTAAAGATGAAGACACTTGCATCTTAGGAACTCTAAGTACCTTACCTAAATCACATAATGAAGTAACAAAAGTAGGACTGAAGTTAAAATATGACTTTGCATATGGGAAAACACAGTGAGAGAGGCTAGAAAGCAGGTTCAAAACAGATTGTAGGGTAATTAAATGCCAGCTTAGGGCATTCTAAACTCTGTACTACAGGAAACAACCATAGAAAATTTCTAAGGAGCACAACATCACTTAAGATATCCAGAAGGGTTAACCTAACAGTGTAAAGATGACAGCAGAGGTTTTCAGAGTATACTAGGACCAAGAGTATCAAAATCATCTGTAAACTTCTGTCAAAAACATATTCTCAGATCCACTCCAGATCTAGTGACTCAGAAACTTAGGATTAGATACTTGGTGTTAAAATCCTCCAAACTGATTATGATGTATGTTTGAGAACACACAAGTGGGAAAAAATCCTTGTTCACTGGGGAAGTACAATTCATTGGGGCTTATAAATGAATTAAGTGGAGAAAGGAAAAAAAAAAAAAAACCCCTAAGAAATGTCAAACCAAAATCAATTATGATAAAAGAAAATAAGAATAGGAGAAAGTGATATGGGGAGGGGGGAGGACCTCCCCAGAAATAATATATACAATATGGAAGAATATATACAATATATAATGTATACGATTCAGAACAAGTCATATTGGGGAAAACCAGTAAGATACTCCAGAGAAGACAAAAATAAGCAGATGAAAATTCAAGAACCCAGAAGCTACCAATAGGAATTCCTCTGCAGGGGTGGGAGGAGGTAGTAAAGAACTAACTACAAGCACATGGTTTTCTCCCCTCCAAAGGATATGAACAACTATAATAGAAAAAGAACACATACACAAGAAATTAAATGCTCAACATTAGGTATGTTCGCTAAAAAATAAATCTTAAGAAAAAAAATTAACACTGCTTCATGAGTATATTTTTTAAAAAGATGGAAATGGCAAGGTATTTGGATCAATGTCAAACATTGCAGAAAGGTTTACCTACTTAAATGAGCAAAAGCTGAAAGCTACTAAGATGATAGTATAGATTTCAATCTTGGGGACTTCTGTATTAATTTACAGCTTTTCAAGCTGTGTAAACAAACTATACTTATACATGGGAAACTTTTAAAAAATATTGGTTCCAGAATTTAACAGTATGGATGAGGTGGCCTAGTATTTAGGACCTATTATGGGACCAATATACATAATTTAGTGCAGAACTAGAGTAAATTTGGAATCACCATTGAATTATTTGTCATTAAATATTTTGCCATAGGTCCTAAATGGTTTGTACTACCTGTCAGAAACATATAAACTCACTTAAGCTGAACTCAAATTAACTATTAGGAATTCTTAATCATGATAAAGAAGCCTCCAACTCTAAATTCCTATGTAGTTTTTATTTGTATAACTTCCTTAGTTAGATCACCCCATTTTTAATGCACTGCAAAGGTAGCAGTGCAGTCTTAATTAAGTTATTAAAATTTATATAAAATTTCCATTACTTAATAAAAATTTTTAAAAAGTTCCATTGCTGAGATTTAAAACTACTTTTGCAAATATCTTGTTGTCTAAAGCTAAGTTTTGATGGAATCCATTTATATTTAACACACAATACAATTTTTAATTGCTAATCTGAATAGTAAAGCAGTTTTGTAATTTAAAAAACTCATTATTACAATTTATAATATACACACAAAAAACACTATTCCAACAATGCACACTGGTTTTGCCAAAACTTTATTCACCATCTTGGCATTGTCAATTCTTCCTGGAAGCTTTCCTGATATCTATGTTGAGGAACTTTTCCAACCTCTGATCATTTCCTCTGTGCCACACTTATGTTTTTAGTTTGTCCTGTTATACTTTATATACACAGTCAAAGCAGGGACTGTGTTTTACCTAATGTGTAAGCCCTCAAATGTGACCAGTACACCATCAAGTGTAAGCTACATGAAATAACATTTCATCTCTATTAGGGTAGACAGAGACCTCATCACACTCATTTTAGGATTAACCAGCTACTACCAGTGACTGTGAGATTCAGGTTTTATTGCAAGAACTGGAATCACAGGACTTTGGGAAGCTGACAAGTGTTACAGTACTGGGTCAACTACAGTCGTTACATGGCTATTCAATTCGGTATCAGAAAAAAGAAACAAGTTTTTCTTATCAGCTAAATTACAAAACAGTTTCACATGTTGTCTTTTTGGCCTAGAAAAAATGTCACCAATAGGTCTACATCACGTGCCCTCTACGGGTGACTGGAGAGAGGAAAATTGGGAGAAATCAACGTAAGAAATCTACTTCAAGAACACATTAAAATAACGTTCAAGAGATTCACGTCACCTGGTTACATCTGGAAGCCACTGTGCAGTTAGGCTGGGCCATTCCAGAGCATGGGTCATCACCAGATCGTAAAGAAAAGGGGTGTTCTTTTTCCATATTTTGTACTCTTCGTTGATCACACGTTCTTCTACTGCGTCATCAAAGGCTGCTAAATATTTTTTGAAGAAATTAAGTTAGTGAACACAAACGGAACCCGAGTTCTGATTTCCAAAGCTATGGGCACGGGGGCTGAGTCCTATCTCGGCAAGAGACTTGGATAAATCTCAAGGCGGAGCCACAACACCCTCTCCACCCCTCGCGGAGCCCGAACGACCCCGGGTCCTCCCCGCCGGCACCCCGTTAGCCGCCGAGGCGCGGGCCTCGGGCGCATGCTCCCGGAGGCGGCCGGTCCGCCGAACGGGCGAGGAGGCCGGAACAGCGACCCGGGGGGCGAGGGGACCGGGTGGGGAGCACCTCGAGAGAGGCGACTGACCGACGCGAGCGCGGACAAGGGCCAAACACCCTCCCGCGCCCCCCGCCAGCTTCGCCCGGCGACGGCCTCAGCTCTCAGAACTGGCGCGCCGTTAGCTCGCCCGGGAGGCGACTGCCTCTCAGCCCTTCGACGGTGGGCACCGCACTCAGCAGAGTTGGGCCTGCACGCCCTGTTAGGCCGTGTCGAGGCCGCGGCGCAAGCCCGGCACCCCCGCTTCCCGCCCTTCTGGGGCGGCCCCCGCACCCTTACCTTCCTTGTCGGCCATGGCGAGCAAGCAAGCCGGGGGGGATCCCGGGGTCGAGCGTTGCGGGAGGGGCGGGGAGGCTGCGGGCGCTCGCTCTGCGCGCGCGGCCTCTATTGTTTCCTGCCGCTCCTGCGTGAGGGTCGACTCGCGCACCTTCGCGCCAACGGTAGCCAATGGGAGCGCGCTGAACGGCGAAGGGGGCGGGGCAGCCGCATTTGTAGCCTATCCGGACGCTCAGAAACGCTTTCGCGGAGGCAGAGCGCGCGCTCCACCTCTGCCCCTACACCGCCCAGAGCCCATTTCCTTCGATTGCGCGCGCGGGGCTGCTGCCAGTGAGTCCACCCGTGGTCACGTGACAAAGGTTTCGTCCGCACTCTCGTGGGGGCAGCCATTTTCTTAAAGGCTGCTAAACGCACTACTTCAAAAATTCTCAGATGAATAATCTATCATGCGTTCAAGTTACAAACTCTAGGGGTGAGGCATCACTTAAAACTGGAGATGTCTGGCTGACATGACCCCTACTCAAAAGACCCCCAACTTATGTGTTTCCTTAGATTTTAGAATTGATTGAGGAAGCATGAGCAGAAAATGGGGCTTTTTAAAGAAAAGTTCCCAACCGTGAGGCCTGAAAAAGACGACTGCGAACAAAGTGTCTCAGCGAGCAGAGCGTCCTGGCTCTTTAAAGGGTGTGTGTCAGGGGGTGGGGTCTAGAGCGGAAGTCTTATATCAAGGCTGAGGTCCGGTTGATGAAGGGCGGAAGTGGAGTGCGCAACACGGCTGTCATGGCGCAGGAAGAGGAGGATGTACGAGATTATAATTTGACCGAAGAGCAGAAGGCGATCAAGACCAAGTATCCGCCAGTCAATCGGAAGTACGAGTGTGAGTAGGAGGCTCAGTTCCCTGTTCGCTTTCCTCATTTGCGACTAGCGGTCTTGCTCCACGTTGCCCCACGAGCTGCTTCAGACTTGATCTCCTGGTCTCCTGTACTTTTCCAGGGAGTGGAAGCTACCAAGTTTGAGAGCCGAGAAAGTAAAGCTCTCACATTTACAGTCCTTGGAACTTTTTTCACATATGCCTAATCACATTTAGCTTGTGGGAATTTTACCAGTGTGTTGATTTTAAACATAGCCGTATTTTCAGGGTTGTCTTGCCCCTACCTCCAGC